TGCATTAAAAATTTTTGTTTGTGCTGCTTTGGCTTTGAAGATATTAATGAAAATTTAAAGGTCACAAGGTCAAATTAGACAAAATTAGTGTCAAACGTTTGTGCAGCAAAAACAGATGTTAACTGACCTTTGATGACCTCTACAAAATATTATGAATATCATGGAAATGACAGCAGTGCAAATGAACATTTTTGCCATACAAAAATATAAAATTTTAGAATAAATTTTAAATGTAAAATATTTAAAATAAATATATTAAAAAATTTGAAAATGCATATTTTAAAATATATACATTTTTTGTACTGCTATCATTTTAATGATATTAATAATTGTTTGTGGAAGCCATCAGAGGTCAGTGAACATTTATTAATTCTGAAACTCTGAATTTCATATAAATTATAAGTTGCTAACCTATGATTATATAATTTTAAACTGTAAAAAAAATGATAGCGGCTCAAATGAAAATTTTTGCTGCACAAACGTTTGACAGCAATTTTGTCTGATTTGAAGAAGATGTGGGGGGGCCAACTTCACTCAGGTTTTTTCCGTGTGTGATGTGTGATCAGATACTACTGAGAATTGCATAATTGTTTCTTCTTGGCCGATTTATGGAGCTGTCACCGTATCCTGAACCTTTATCACGTGTCGTACTTCATATGGGGCCCGCCCAGATAATGTTGCGTATGTGCCTATTGTTGCGTCGTTACGTCATTGATCTCATTCATTGTTTCAGCCCTATTTCTAACAGATTTTATTTAAGGAAAGCAATGCATTTATGTAGCTTCATCTTTCTTAACACCAACTATGATCAGCTTGAGGAAAATAGCATCCCCACAGCATGATGCGTCCATTGCTGTGGGATTGGCATGTTCATGACAAAAAAAATATTTACCTGTCTACAGTTTCTCCTATATAGCTTGTAGCAAACTGCAAAATTGCAATTCTGATGTTTTTCTTTTTTCCACCCATGCTAATAGTTTTTGTCATGTAAACATGTACTTCCATCTGATCTGTAGAAGTCTTGAGCTCCTTCAGGAGGTCTGAGGCAGGTTTTTCTTTTTTAAGTTCCCATCTTTCTTGGTCAGAAATGTTTAAACTTGGGATTTTTTTTTTAATTATTAATAGGGATGCACG